TCTGGAAAACCACTACTAATTAGATACTACAACGAATAAGAAATATTTCAAAATTGAGGTTTGGCAACAAAATATGGTGGGAAGGGGAAGAGGGTTTGCTGCTAAAGAGAGTGAATTTTTCACTTCCATTAAAAGGTCTTTACACTTCAAATTTTAAAGAAAAACCGACTTTTTACCTTATTGTTAGAATCTTCTTTGTACGATGATTAAGATGCTGGTGTCCACTACATACAGGTGTCTTCTGTATATACAGTTGTTCAGCTGAGTATACAGGTGTCTAGTATACAGGTGTCTAGTATACAGGTGTCTAGCATACAGGTGTCTAGTATACAGGTGTCTAGTATACAGGTGTCGAGTATACAGGTGTCTAGTTTACAGGTGTCTAGTTTACAGGTGTCTAGTTTACAGGTGTCTAGTTTACAGGTGTCTAGTTTACAGGTGTCTAGTTTACAGGTGTCTAGTATACAGGTGTCTAGCATACAGGTGTCGAGTTTACAGGTGTCTAGTATACAGGTGTCTAGCATACAGGTGTCTAGGTTACAGGTGTCTAGTTTACAGGTGTCTAGTATACAGGTGTCTAGTATACAGGTGTCTAGTACACAGGTGTCTAGTATACAGGTGTCTAGTATACAGGTGTCTAGTATACAGGTGTCGAGTATACAGGTGTCTAGTTTACAGGTGTCTAGTATACAGGTGTCGAGTATACAGGTGTCTAATATACAGGTGTCTAGTATACAGGTGTCGAGTATACAGGTGTCTAATATACAGGTGTCTAGTTTACGATGTCTAGTTTACAGGTGTCTAGTTTACAGGTGTCTAGTATACAGGTGTCTAGTATACAGGTATCTAGTATATAATGATGTTTATATATGACAGAGTCTAGTATACAAAATTGTCCAGAATATAAAATGTCAAGGATATTATGATGTCCAGTATATACAGGTGTCAAGGATATAATGATGTCCAGAATATAAAATGTCAAGGATATTATGATGTCCAGTATATACAGGTGTCAAGGATATAATGATGTCCAGAATATACAGGTGTCAAGGATATAATGATGTCCAGTATATACAGGTGTCAAGGATATAATGATGTCCAGTATATACAGGTGTCAAGGATATAATGATGTCCAGTATATACAGGTGTCAAGGATATAATGATGTCCAGTATATACAGGTGTCAAGGATATAATGATGTCCAGTATATACAGGTGTCAAGGATATAGATATTAGAAACATCACAAACAGTTGGCTATTATTTACAGGATTTCATTAAATACAGATGACCATTATAAACAGTTGTCTGTTATCTATAGGTTTTCATGAAATGTATTTATATGCTTTCATTAAATATATATGTCCATTATAGAAAGTTGGCTGTAATTTACAGGTTTTCTTCAAATGCAAGTGTCCATTATAAACAGTTGTCTGTTATTTACAGGTTTTGTAATTATTTTCAGTCCTGATTACCACATTTTACAACAAGAGATAAACATTATTGTCTCAACATGTTTCCTTTAATTGAGGTATCTGAATTATGGAGAAAAGAATTATTAGAAAATGGATTTACACCTCCTAAATAATTTACTTCTGTTTTTGTTTGTACATTTTGACATAGCTTATAGATTTTTAATTGTGATGAGGGATGGTAGACTGGAAATTCAGCCTCCTGGACATAAAGTGTTGGTTACTTAGCCCATAGTGATCTGTGTGTTACTCTAATGGCCTCATGTATTTTTCAAAGCTACACTTATAATAAAACTGGCCCCTCACAGACTGATGTAGCACTATGTTAAAAAATGAAGGAAAAATCTTCATGCATTTTGTAGGACAGAAATTGTATAGACAAAGGACTCATTAATTATACAGTAACTACTGTACGGTACAGTCAGGCAGGTGAAATTTTCCTATGGTTACTTAAACAAGATTTCATAGAAAATAAGGTTTTTGTCTTAAGTTTTCTCTGGGCAATTTAGCAAAGCCTGTAAATATTTCATCATTCCATTTACTGATGGTTATATATCCTCTGTAGCTGCTCCGGGCTCTCACAGATAGCCTGATGTCAGATCGGTAGAGTTTTCGGTTTTCTGGGAATCGTAACTTACTATTAAACTTTTTTTCCAGTTTTGTTTTCATTAATGGATCAAATTTCTTTGTTTTTCAAAAACCTTGAAACAAAAAGGATATTATTGTCATGAAATGTTTCACCCTCTCACTTTTTCTTTTAGTTTATTTTTCAAAAGTATCTGTTTTTTGCAATTTCATTCCATTCTTAAAGTAAGCTTATAAACATAGCCTCACAAACATTCTCACTTTTCCAGTACTGTGTATGAGCAGAATCTGTACTAGGTTTTGCACATCTGTGTACATGGTGATTATGATGTAATTCAGTAGACAAATAATAGAGGTTTATAGCTAGTTAGGTAATGGAATAAGGTTTTGACTAGGATTTAATTCTACCGTGGTCTCCACCGTGTTTGATGTACTGTACTAGTTTTCTAATAATATAGACGTCTAGATAAGGTTGTCATGAAATTACCGCGAATAAAATTAAAAGTTCAAGCATAGAGAACCAAATTAATGTAAAAGATAGGTCGCAATTAGTGAGATAAGATGAGAAAACACCTGCCATATGGGTAGCCGATCAGGAGAGAAGCTCTCTTCAATAGCTGAAATACTTGGCCAATTAGATTGCAGATATAGCCATTCTGGACAATTAAGTAAAACAGTATTTTTATGTCCGTGTACCCTTGTTGTCTCAGAAAACAGATATGTGTATACCAAATCCGACTAAAACACACTTATATTTATAAACCATATTTTTTATCATTATTATATTTTCCATGTTTTGACGGAGCCCAATGTATGTTCATAAGTTTTTTTAACATTTTTTATTTTTCTGGAAAATCTCTGAACGGATTGCAAGGAAATTTTACAGCAACCTTCCATTGCCAAATGTGAACTAAATCACATAGTTCGTACCCCAAAGGGCTTGAGGGACCGGGCCAAAAATGGGTAAATTTACTATAGTTTATATAGAAAAAGCTGCACAGTCCCAAGCATGATTATTTATTTTCCATTGGGAATAGTTCAGACTTTGTTAGAATTATTTGTACAGGATGACAACTTGATGACATGATGTTGGCTGGCCTGCAAGAGCCAATGGGTAGGGCCAAAATGGTCAAATTAACTGAAATCTTCTTTTATATACTAAAATATGATAGAGTCAAATACTGTTTATGGATGGAAGGATCAAGAGGGGCTTTACAAAATTGTTAATGAAAGCAGGGTCTCACATTTCTCTCTGGGGAGGGGGCGAAGTTTACAATAGGGTATTAGGTCATCGTTATATCATGGAATTTTTACAATGATGAGTTACAACTTCGAGTAAACTCTTCTGTCACTGTACAGACATTTCTCATTTTCTCTTCTTTAGACTACACATAAATTCCAGTCGTTTCTGTTTGTGAATTTACTTACGTGACCCTTTCGGTCCCCCAGGCCTCTTGTTTCTTGATATATTTTATTAATTATTTTCTTATGAGCAGCCTTATCACTCACAGATTTTCATATTCACTTCGGTTTTAAATCCATAATAAACTTTCACAGCAAGAAACCAAGAAATTTTAGACATAAACATTCATACAGCCTTTATCTTATATTTCTTAAACTTTTTTTTTTTTGACAAAATAAATGGTAGTGAGCAGGTTTTGGGTTTTTTTTATTCCAGCTACATCAACATTAAAGTAAGTTATGCAAGATTCAAGATGCCCATCCACCTATTAGTCTGTGTTCTGAAGATTGTCCAAAGTTACATGGTAATTAACTCCCACAAATAACTTTGTATGAAACTGTCTTTTTTCCATCATCTGTCCATTAGTCCAGAGAAGGACTGTAACTGTAATTACATTGTTGTTGATGACCTCAGCATTGAGTGAAACCACAGAAAAATTAGTAGTGTAACAAAGTCTTTTTTCTTAGAAATTATACTTGTTTTCTCTGATGTCACTCTCTACCTCTTTGTTAATCCCACACTCAGCAAACTTGTTTTCTCTGATGTCACACTCTACCTCTCTGTTAATCCCACACTCAGCACACTTGTTTTCTCTGATGTCACACTCTACCTCTCAGTTAATCCCACACCCAGCACAGTTGTTTTCTCTGATGTCATGCTCTACCTCTCTGTTAACCCCACACCCAACACACTTGTTTTCTCTGATGTCACACTCTACCTCTCAGTTAATCCCACACCCAGCACAGTTGTTTTCTCTGATGTCGCCCTCTACCTATCTGTTAACCCCACACCAAGCACAGTTGTTTTCTCTGATGTCACACTCTACCTCTCTGTTAACCCCACACCCAGCACACTTGTTTTCTCTGATGTCGCCCTCTACCTATCTGTTAACCCCACGCTCAGCACACTTGTTTTCTCTGATCTCACACTCTACCTATCTGTTAATCCCACACCCAGCACAGTTGTTTTCTCTGATGTTGCCCTCTACCTATCTGTTAACCCCACACCAAGCACAGTTGTTTTCTCTGATGTCACACTCTACCTCTCTGTTAACCCCACACCAAGCACAGTTGTTTTCTCTGATGTCACACTCTACCTCTCTGTTAACCCCACACCAAGCACAGTTGTTTTCTCTGATGTCACACTCTATCTCTCTGTTAATCCCACACTCAGCGCACTTGTTTTCTCTGATTTCACATTCTACCTCTCTGTTAATCCCACACTCAGCAAACTTGTTTTTCTCTGATGTCACACTCTACCTCTCTGTTAACCCCACACCAAGCACACTTGTTTTCTCTGATGTCGCCCTCTACCTATCTGTTAACCCCACACTCAGCACACTTGTTTTTCTCTGATGTCACGCTCTACCTCTCTGTTAACCCCACACCAAGCACAGTTGTTTTTCTCTGATGTCACACTCTACCTCTCTGTTAACCCCACACCAAGCACAGTTGTTTTCTCTGATGTCACACTCTACCTCTCTGTTAACCCCACACCAAGCACAGTTGTTTTTCTCTGATGTCACACTCTACCTCTCTGTTAATCCCACACTCAGCACACTTGTTTTCTCTGATGTCACACTCTACTTCTCTGTTAATCCCACACTCAGCACACTTGTTTCCTCTGATGTCACACTCTACCTCTCTGTTAACCCCACACTCAGCACACTTGTTTTCTCTGATGTCACACTCTATCTCTCTGTTAATCCCACACTCAGCACACTTGTTTTCTCTGATGTCACACTCTACCTCTCTGTTAACCCCACACCAAGCACACTTGTTTTCTCTGATGTCACACTCTATCTCTCTGTTAATCCCACACTCAGCACACTTGTTTTCTCTGATGTCACACTCTACTTCTCTGTTAATCCCACACTCAGCACACTTGTTTTCTCTGATGTCACACTCTACCTCTCTGTTAACCCCACACCAAGCACACTTGTTTTTTCTGATGTCACACTCTACCTCTCTGTTAACCCCACACCAAGCACACTTGTTTCCTCTGATGTCACACTCTACCTCTCTGTTAACCCCACACCAAGCACACTTGTTTCTTCTGATGTCACACTCTACCTCTCTGTTAACCCCACACTCAGCACACTTGTTTTTCTCTGATGTCACACTCTTCCTCTCTGTCACGTGCATCTTCCTGTCACACTCTCTTTACCTGTCACAAAATAGTCTTGTCACATTCTTTCTGTAACCATCTCTGTTATATTCCACCTCTGTGTCACACTCATCACACACTTGCTTTTTCTCCTTAACACATTTTCCTTATCTATTACACTTTTTTCTCTTTGTTGTTCAACTTACCTGTCACACTAACCTTCCCTGTGACACTTTCCCTGTCATATTCTCCCTCTCTGTCACTCTTTTTTCCCTGTCACACTTTCCTTACCTGTCACTCAACTTACTTATCACACTCACCTTCCCCGTCACACTCTCCCTCTCTGTCACTCATCTTACCTGTCACTCTTTTTTCTTTGCCACACTTTCCTTCTCTGTCACTCAACTTATCTGTCACACTCTCTTTCTCAGTCACTTTCATCATTTTTGTCTCGCATACCTTTCCACCATACCTTCCTTGTCACATGTTCTTCTCTCACATACCTCTTTTCTGTCAGTGACCTGCCCAATGTTTAATCTATACTGACAGCTAGCCAGCATCGAGAGCAGCATAAATCTCCCTTTTTAAGGCGTGTAGAAACGGCCATGAAACTTTGATAAGTTTTGGAAGCAGGAAGCCCGGTGTCGTATAATATTAATCAATGGCCGGGAAGAGGAGCAACTACTCACGAGTTGTCGAGTTGTCGGCAAATTGTTGGATTGTAGTCATCTTGGGCTGTAGAATCGACTAATAATATCCAGGATATGTAATACCTGAAGGAATACACCTCAAGAAATCAATAGCCCGTTCTCCGGCCTTTTATTAATTACGTTTGTCAATATCTCTATAGTTCTAGCCATAGCAAGAAGGACGGAGAGGCTCTGTAATTATTTTCATACCCCCAAACACAACAACCTGATGAACATCATACATACTCCGTAGATAGATATATACTAGACGTAGCCTCTTGATTGGTTCAGACATGTGACTCATAACTCTTCGGATAAGGTCGCTGTCTGCCTCTCAGAGCAGCTCACATGGGGATTTTGGGGCCGACACCCAAAGGTATACATCCAAATCAATGTGCTCTAAATTGCCTCTCATTTGCATTTGTATATTATATTTTATTGTCAGACTAGATTTCCAGTTAACTTTTTTCCATTTTTATTTGTAAGTCATGGATCTCTAACCAAATAGCACCATAAATCTCAGCTTCATATACATATGTAATGTGCAAGTACACAAGTAACTGTGACATAAATCACAGGTATAATGTGTAAGGTAGGATATATCCTTAACTCTAACACAAATCACAGGTATAATGTGTAAGGTAGGATATATCCTTAACTCTAACACAAATCAAAGGTATAATGTGTAAGGTAGGATATATCCTTAACTCTAACACAAATCACAGGTATAATGTGTAAGGTAGGATATATCCTGAAATCTAACACAAATCACAGGTATAATGTGTAAGGTAGGATATATCCTTAACTCTAACACAAATCACAGGTATAATGTGTAAGTAGCATATCACCTTAACTCTAACACAAATCAAAGGTATAATGTGTAAGGTAGGATATATCCTTAACTCTAACACAAATCACAGGTATAATGTGTAAGGTAGGATATATCCTTAACTCTAACACAAATCACAGGTATAATGTGTAAGGTAGGATATATCCTTAACTCTAACACAAATCACAGGTATAATGTGTAAGTAGCATATCACCTTAACTCTAACACAAATCACAGGTATAATGTGTAAGGTAGGATATATCCTTAACTCTAACACAAATCACAGGTATAATGTGTAAGGTAGGATATATCCTTAACTCTAACACAAATCACAGGTATAATGTGTAAGATAACATATATCCTTAACTCTAACACAAATCACAGGTATAATGTGTAAGTAGCATATATCTTTAACTCTAACACAAATCACAGGTATAATGTGTAAGTAGCATATATCCTTAACTCTAACATAAATCACAGGTATAATGTGTAAGGTAACATATATCCTTTTCTCTAACACAAATCACAGGAATAATGTTTAAGGTCGTCCAACACATTTTCAGCTCAAATATAAATCGCAATTCTTGAACTCTGTAAGTTAGAGTATATTTTTCACTTGGCTGTTGTTTATATTGAAAACTATTTTCCATCATCTTGACATGTTAAACATATGATGAGAAAATATGTATAAAATTTTCCCTTCATAATCTCTCTCAATACAGTTAAAACTTTTCAGTTGGTTTATTTCACGTTAAGGATGTTTTGGTCAATTTCAAATGTGCCACCATTATGGATATAACGACCACCACACCGGATATAACGACCATTAGCAAGGTAAATGCTGTTGCAGCATTGTCGCATGAAACTCATAAACCAGCAGAAAACTTGAGGAGGAATGTTGTGCCATTCATCATTCAAGGCTTGGGCCAGCTTGACAGCTGATTGGGACTTTCTCTCATGTGTAGCCCAAAAGGGTCCCAAACATATTCATTTGGTGGCAAATCAGGTGATTTCGATAGCCAATTAAACACCTGCACATTATGAGATCACCTGGGTCATGTGAGCTTATGGCCTGGCGTGGTGACCGGCTGTCCATTTGGCGTCGGTCATCTGGTATCAACTTCTTCCTTTACACAACTTCTTCTCAATAAAAAATGGGGCTTCTTTCACTGATACATGTGACAGGAACATCAGTTTATTTTTACAATAAAAAGATCAAACACATGTTTGCCTTTACATTTAGATTTGCCTTTGTGTCATCAGTCTATTGCAGCACTTGTAGAAATGGACATTTCTGAACTTTTCATGTAAGTCATTTTAATTGATATCACATCTGTGTTTTTTGGGGGTTTTTTTTTCTTCTTAAATTAAGCAATTTTTCAATATAACGTGACAAAGTGTACTTAAACGTATGCTAATTTAATTATCAACAAAAAATATTTAATTCACATTTACCATACAAGTAATTAAGAAACGGATAAGACATGACTATGGAGTTGTCCATAAGACTTTATGACTGTCTTTCCTGTTGGATATATTGTATTAGAGACGTGGAGACGCGGGACATTACCTCACAGTCTATCACCCACTCGGGACCTCATCACTCCCTGAATCGGTCTTGTCAGTGCTTTAGAACAAAAAAGGAACATTCTGTAAAGAAATTAACAATAGTTACAAGTTTTTTGCTCATCTGCCCGAAGAACAAGTGAACTTATGCTGTGGCAGGGCATCTGTCATCCATCCGTAATCAACTTCTGACTTCATTAATTGACTTCTACTCATTAACCCAAAGGCCAGGAGTGCTGGGCCTGTAGCATGCTTTGATAAAGAGCTAAAAAGTTTGTTCAAATGAATGACATTGAGCCCTTTTAAGGTCAGAGGGATGAAATATTGTTGAATCTTCAAACAACAATTTCTCAATAACAAAAGACCAACGTGGGTCTATAGCATGCTGCGATGAAGGGCTACTAAGTATGTTTAAATGAATGACTTTGACTTACTTTTCGGTTTTTAGCAATAGGTCCTGGGTCTCCTCTGTAACTGCAAGGATAATTCAGGCCATTTTATACACTATTTGTTACAAATGGGAAGACCTTGAAATACTGACAGGAGGCTTCTGGTTCTAAGCAAAACCAGGAGGGAGGCCTCTGATTCTCAACCTATTTGAGGAGAGATATCTCTGGTAGTATATGAAGTATTGGAGGGAGGCCTCTGATTCTCTATCTATTTGAGGAGAGAATTCTGGTAGTATTTGAAGTATTGGAGGGAGGCCTCTGATTCTCTATCTATTTGAGGAGAGAATTCTGGTAGTATTTGAAGTATTGGAGGGAGGCCTCTGATTCTCTACCTATTTGAGGAGAGAATTCTGGTAGTATTTGAAGTATTGGAGGGAGGCCTCTGATTCTCTATCTATTTGAGGAGAGAATTCTGGTAGTATTTGAAGTATTGGAGGGAGGCCTCTGATTCTCTACCTATTTGAGGAGAGATATCTCTGGTAGTATTTGAAGTTTTGGAGGGAGGCCTCTGATTCTCTACCTAGTTTAGGAGAGAATTCTGGTAGTATTTGAAGTATTGGAGGGAGGCCTCTGATTCTCTATCTATTTGAGGAGAGAATTCTAGTAGTATTTTAAGTATTGGAGGGATACCTCTGATTCTCTACCTATTTGAGGAGAGATATCTCTGGTAGTATTTGAAGTTTTGGAGGGAGGCCTCTGATTCTCTACCTAGTTGAGGAGAGAATTCTGGTAGTATTTGAAGTATTGGAGGGAGGCCTCTGATTCTCTATCTATTTGAGGAGAGAATTCTAGTAGTATTTTAAGTATTGGAGGGATACCTCTGATTCTCTATCTATTTGAGGAGAGAGATCTCTTGTACTATTTTAAGTATTGGAGGGATACCTCTGATTCTCTATCTATTTGAGGAGAGAGATCTCTTGTACTATTTTAAGTATTGGAGGGAGGCCTCTGATTCTCTATCTATTTGAGGAGAGATATCTCTGGTAGTATATGAAGTATTGGAGGGAGGCCTCTGATTCTCTATCTATTTGAGGAGAGAATTCTGGTAGTATTTGAAGTTTTGGAGGGAGGCCTCTGATTTTCTACCTATTTGAGGAGAGAATTCTGGTAGTATTTGAAGTTTTGGAGGGAGGCCTCTGATTCTCTACCTATTTGAGGAGAGAATTCTGGTAGTATTTGAAGTTTTGGAGGGAGGCCTCTGACTCTACCTATTTGAGGAGAGAATTCTGGTAGTATTTGAAGTTTTGGAGGGAGGCCTCTGATTCTCTACCTATTTGAGGAGAGAATTCTGGTAGTATTTGAAGTATTGGAGGGATACCTCTGATTCTCTATCTATTTGAGGAGAGAGATCTCTTGTACTATTTTAAGTATTGGAGGGAGGCCTCTGATTTTAAATGAAGTAGGAAAGGAAGACTTCTCCTTGAATAAAATTAGGGAGAGGGATTTCTAGTGCTATTTAGGGGAGGCAGACCTTGGTTCTACTTGAAGTAAGGAAGGGAGACCTT